CCCCAAAATAATAATGATAGGGTGATGTAACTCTGTACACCGTGTTACTTATTTGTCACCAAATTTTAATTTAGTTTTGTGTATGACCAATGATTTAGAATGAATAAAGGATAAAGTCTTACTTTAATTTTTGGGTGCAGATTTGTACAACAAAAAGTGAAGAATGATGAATGTTTAATACATTAACAAGTGTGGTGTGTTTGGCGATTATGACAAAGGCCAATTTTGGATAATATGAACTTGAATATTTTTCCTCAAAAATGATTTTTTTAACATTTAGCTACACATCTACCATTGTGATATCATACTTGGTACTATATCTTAAAACCATCACGTTTGGCTTAGTAATTATTACTGTTTTTATTTTTAATTTTTCTTTTTGGCACTGGTCAATACATGGGTGACTTTAAGGTGTAAAACTTGCGATTTATGGTCGATCATAGCTTTCAAAATAAATAATTAAACTGATCACGTGTGCATTATTTCTCATTTTCCTTCACCAAATATGAAGTTAAATGACATTATCTTGTAAAATACATGAAGAAATGAACTTCATTTAATCAAAGATAGATATACGACTCAGCTGATTTCATTTTGTTGATGATCTCGTCGTCCATCGTGAAAATTATGGTATGTTGAACGCAACTTCCCCATTTCCCCTACGTACATCGGAGGTCCGGAGGACCTATGCGGGCCTCGGGGTCCCATTTTATGTTGATGATCATCCCACTTTTAGTTCGGAATTTCACTATTAGTACTTAACTACTTATGGTGAAAAATATGGTAAAAACTTCGGAATTTCACTATTAAGATAAAAAGTTCGGGTAAAAAATTACAAACATATTATGTATATCGGGTCACCCCAACATACCGGTCTGCCTCTGCTACTGCTACTATGGTTTCATGTTGATTTTGCCAAAACTCGCCTTTTCACCATGTAATAATCATGGACAAAATCCAAAGAAATTATTTACAAAATTATTTTTTGTGCAACCGGCACAACAATTAATTGCAAAATGGTGAGCAAAATAATGAATGTTGTGTATGGATACCAAGAGAGAGGAGTGGCGATGAGAAACCTAGCCGCCACCTCATCTTCTTTTGTTCTTTTCTTCTCTTTTTTCTATCTTTTTGGCTTCAATCATGAAAAATGTCTCAGTTATTCTCAGTTCTACATATACGTTTATTTCCTAGTATTGTTTAGAGATGTTATTTTCGGTGGCGAAGTGTCCCTCGCCAGATGTATATTCCCCGCCATCATCAGTCAGGTGTTCTTTTTGTGCTAGCAAGAGGTTTGTACCAGCGTCCCCATCAATCATGAATTTGGATTTCTTCTGCATCAATATAGAGGTCGATCGCCCTAGTCTCCTCCTTAACCACCGCCAATCCAGAAAGATGAGATTGCATGGATTCCTTTTCTTTCCAGTAGCGGGTGAAATCGGAAATATTTCTGCACTTGCAGAGCCCAATTTATTTTTATTATTGTAAGTATAGGTTTATTACTTTCCGGCTCAGCCCAAGCGTACAAGTTTTGTAATTCTATTTGATTATTAATTGAATTTTTCAGTAGATGAAAAAATAGTATTTATTCATTATAAATTTGTAATGATTAAAGATAGAATTGAAGATTAGAGAATGATTTATTTGCTATATTATTAAATATTAGAGAATGATTTATTTACTATTTAGACATTTAAGAAAGGATTCAAAATATCAATTCAATGGCTGCTTTAACATATTAGTTTTATACTTTTATAGAAGTATTTAATTCATATTATAAGTACTAAAATCTTTAATAATCATTAATAAATTTATAAAATCATACTCAAAACGTTTAAATTTGAGAAATTGCCCAATATAGGAGTAAACATAAACATAATTGCACAAATAGGAGTGAACCTTAAAACTTCCTTTAATAGGAGTAAACATTAATTTTGTACCTTTAATACACCTAACCTATTTAATTCTAAAATATGATTTATTTGATCCTAATAAAATACCAAAAAATTCTAAAATATTTGAAAAAATATAATGAAATAATAAAAATTAAAAAAAAATTAAATAAAAATATAAAAAATTAAAAATAAATAAAAATAAATAAACCACATTAAAAATTATAAAAAATTATGCAGGCTTTTCCTGCAACCTCGGCCATCACCCATCAATATAATGCCACCTGAGATCGGCGAAACAAATGTCATTTTATGTTAAAACTGTCATTTTTCTTTGAAAATGTCATAAAGATGACAATTTTAGTCTTTGAAAATGCCATATTTTCTCAAAATCTGCCATGATGATGGCATTTCGAAAAAATGTTGGCATTGTTTTCGGTGGTCAGAACTGGTAGTGCTGGGAGGTTGTTGAGGTGGCGGTAGACGCCTACATATTTTTTTTCATTTTTAAATTTTTTTATTTTAATTTTTTTGGTTTTTTTTACTTAAATAATGTTTATTTTCATTAATTTTATTTAATACGGAGTATGTTTTTATTTGATATATTTTTGTGTTTTTTTCATTTTTTTTACAATTTTATTATAAATTAATGTTATTTCTTTTATGTTTTAATTATTAATGAAAGTTGTTGGGGCTTGGGTAGGGGTATACTTGTCCAAACACTAAAGTTACTACTATTCAAAACATGATCCATTATTATTGTGTCTATCCTTTTCTCCGATTTGGGGAATTCTCTCTTTAAATTTTAAGATATACTACTTGTGTCCCTTTTTATTTAACCATGTTTGACTTTTTCAGTTTAAAAGGGTAAACTTTGATCCATTATTTTAACTAATGTATTAATGTGAAACTTAATAAATTTATACTTTAATGATAATATTTTTAACAAAAAATATTTGCATTTCATTTTCATATGTTCATAGTTTAAATTATTTTCATACTTTATGTATTTTAATATTACTCTCTGTTCTAAAAATCGTTCTAGACGTCCGACCAGTCCCCGTCTAGGTGCTAGGCGGTGGCCAGGCGTCACGATTTTCGTCTAGGCACTCCGACTAATTGGTTTGTCGTCTAGGTGAATTAGTCGGCCGCCTATGATGCCTAGTTGCCCGCCTAGATCGCCTAATCAGCCGCCTAGACCGTCTAGATTCACCGAACAATACTTCACCTTTAATTTTAATTTTCAAAGCGAGATATGTACTTTAACTTTAGCCATTGATATAAAGAATTGAAGTTGTATATTAAGATAAAACTATATATGTTTGTATATATACCTAAATTTTATCATTATTTATATTTATAACATAATGAAGTTAAGTACGGAGTATTTAGTTATCATATACTACGTATGATTAAATGTGATAATTTTATCATTCATGTTTGTGAATGTATATGTATACATGTATTTTATACACAAACATAAAATATTACTTATCACATTTATGCAAAAATAGACATAAAAATGCAATTTTTATGCCTCCGACTAGTCCCCGCCTAGCCGCCCACCTAGCTACCTAGGCGCTGGGCTGGCGCCCGACTAGCGCCTAGCGCCTTTTAGAACATTGATATTGATGTATAAATATATAGCCATTCAAAGTTTCACATCTTTGACTTGAAAAAGTCAAATTTGGCGTAATAAAAGAGGACGGAGGTAGTATATAATTTATTTCTACAATTTATAAATTATCGATATGCTCGAGTTCGGATCGAACTGAACAAGATTATGCTCGAATTCGGTTTGAATAACTATTCAAACTCATAATCTAGCTCGTGTTCGAGTTCGAAGCTCACTCGTTAAACGGTCATCAAATCAATTCGAAATCACTCTCGAACTCGAGTTGTTCGAAAAAAGCTCAGTTCAACAACAACGTACCCTAAGTTAAACATTTTGTGTGCAGTATTAAAATTTTATTTTGTTACTGTTTAGCTCACCCCACCCCTCATTCCTGGATCCGCCTCTGTGTAAAACTTGAAAACTAGAAAGTTTAATAATTGGTTTTTGGTAAGGGAGTAAAACCGGACTCATTTTGAGTAGCATGAGTAGTCACATTGTTGTACGAGTTTACATGGTTGCAGGGTTTGCAAACAAGAATGCCTGTATGAAGCTTTTTATTCTTTGTCTCACACTAGTGTAACATTGAACGCTATGATTCTAATGCTTCAGTGTTTGATTGTTATGTTTCTTAATATCCTTATCAATAATAATTAAGTTATTTTCTTTCAATAAAAATATCTTGTTATGGATTTTCATTCAAGAAAAGAGTCTTCAATCAAGTAAGCTCACCTCTAATTTTAGACGAATATAATCATACTTAGCGGGAAAAAATCATCAATCCGCTTTTTAAAGAACGTGCAGTGGCAAGGGTGGATTTCCGCCGCTAGGGTTTTCTTCTCCGCTATCGATTCTTTCGAGGATCGACTGTCGTCCCTACACTAGTTAGGGTTTTTTGTTCCACCGATCAAGCTTCGTTCGTGCAGTTGGATTTTTTTCGTCGAACGAGAGCTTCGTGCGGCTTTCCTCTTTGGAATTTCGAAACGTGAGTGGAACGCAGGGGCGGTGAGGTGCGGCTTGGATTTTTGTGGGCGAAGAAACACATGGCAACATGATAGAGTTTTCTTTTGCACCTCAGACATAGATTTCAATGACAAATCTCAAGGAGCAAATTGACGAGAGAAAATTGGCAAGCGCAATAAGGATAGAGTTTCAAACGAATTTTCCGGGGGTTGAAATTCTCTTCTATCATACTACATCAGTTCGCCCCCACCCTCCTCCCAAACCACCTCCGTGCAAGAAAGCAATTTGGGGAGACTTTTTAATTTCATATTATTTTTCCTTTCTTAGTATTTATTTTTATTTCAGTTCGACCAGGTATGGTTGGAGTATTTTAATTTTTGAAAAACTTTTGATAGGCAGAGTACTTCATTTTCGATCGTTTTAAGATGTTTCTTGCCCGTTTTGTGTCTAGCGAGTTAGGTTGTTTTGTATGGATGACTGACTCTAAGTCTATTCATAGGGCTTACAATCGGATTTGTAATAGCTGTCTGGATTTTATCTTGCATGCTTGCTCTATATTAATTTTTTTTTATCATCAAACGGGCCTCTATTCATATCAAAAGATTCAGGATCATTAAATCAAGCAAAAGGAAAATAAAACTGACACCAACTGAAACTTCAACAACTACGACTGTAACCCTATGGTGAGACTTTGAGACGGTCACCCCTGAGAGAGCAACACGAATCGCTAACCATGTAGTGGGCTTGACACAGCCAAACCTATTCCCATAGATCCAACCATACCCAATGACATAAAGAGAGGCAAAAAACTCAAACAAACTGTCAAAACCAACAACAAAAGTGGACACAAGAAAACAAATAACAAACAGATAAAAACTACAAGAAAAGCGTTCACGAACTCTAGCACCTCGTACATCCCATGGTGGTGGTTCAGGAGGAGGTCTTACCACCAGTACCATGCTAATTGATACTCCGTGACCTTTGTCTGCCAAAGGCCACGCATCAATCCTCCGTCCCTGCATAACCAAACTCATCCCTGCTTCATGCAACCAGAGTAAACGGATAGGCGGCGCCGATCTTCTCCAACGACGACAGCAATACATCATCCTCGAACCTTGACCACAATGCCGATCTCCTCGAGCCATGACAGCAAATCCGCCCTTCGAGTATGAAGCACCAACAACAGCAGCCGTCCTTCGATTAAAATCGAAGACGGAAATAGCGGCCGTCCTTCGATTAAAATCGAAGACGGAAAAAGCGGCCGTCCTTCGATTAAAATCGAAGACGGAAAAAAACTCCAAGCGGCCGAAGCCCTAGAGAGAAACGAGAAACTCAGCCGAACTGCTTGCTCTATATTAATGAAAAGCCGTTTTGATGATAAAAAGAATAAGAACGCGGAGTGGCACTGTCAACATCACGTATAACTGCAAGGAATCGCTCCATCATAGCCTGTGATCGTCTACATATCTATCGCACAACAATTGTGAGGTGCTATTTGGCATAATTATCACCTTATCTCCATAAATTTAGGGCACTAATTTTTATTATAAATACTACTCTGTAATACTAAATTTTGGCAAGCTTCAAACCTTCACACCTTGATGACTATAAATATCATGCTGATTCTAAAAAACAAAGGGAAGAACAGAATATATAAATCCAATTAGTTTAATTTACATCATACTACGTATTATTAATGAACATTAGTTTAGTCACTCGTCAATAAACATGGATTTGATTTGATAAAACTTAGGCCGATCATGTTTGTAGGCTAGGGAACTTGACGAGATTCATGTCACACCATGGACAATGTATGCATGATTGTATGGTAGTATAGTACTAATTGCAGAAAATAGATAGAAATTGCCTTATATATGCTCTGTAAAGTTTAAGAAGATTATTTTAAATGGAATTAATGGAGATAAGGTACATGATCTGATATAGGAAACAGATGAAGCGAAGGGGTAGAGGCCGCAGACCTAAGAGACACATAGAAACACTTGGGGCCGATATATTGAAGGCCTTGTTCAACATTAAATAAAAGGCCTTGTAAAAAAGAGAAAAAAAGATATTGCGTCCCGCCATGGGCGGAGCCAGAACCTTGGCCCAGACTGGGCCGGTACAAAGAATATTTTTGAAAAAAAATTTACACGCAATTTTTTATACTAAAAATAAAGACATCTTTAAAATTTGGGCTGGGCCAGGGCCAGCTCTGGCCCACCCCTAGCTACGTCACTGCCTCCCGCTCAATGTTGAAGTTAGGATGTTTTTACTTGGATTGTAATGTGTTCTAAATCAGACTAGACTTGAATAGTTATAAAAATACAAAGAGACCAGACCAAACCAGCAAATTACAGTCCAAGTAAAAACATCCTTATACCCTACCAATTGATAATTAATTCAATTTTCATATATAATTAAAGTTTACATATTCAGAAATTACATTAAAATATCTACAAAGTTATTAAATCCAAGTTAAAATTAAATTAAAAATTGATATTCCAATTAAGTGAATAAAATGAATCTTTTGACTCAAAAAGTCAATTTTATAACTCAATTTGAGATATACGGAGTATTCCATATATTAATTGTGACATGGTAATTTATGACACTTATATTTATTCACATGTTGCATGTGTGTCGATATAAAGTAATACCAGTAATATGTATAGCTAAATTGGAAGTAATAGAATATTGGAAGTAATATGTATAGCTAAATTGGAATTTTCCCCTAAATTTATTATGTGTTCACTTACATTAAATTGGAATTAATAGAATATTTTAATTGATTTCATTAAAGGTATTTTTATAGCTTATGAGTTATGACCAATTTCTTCCAACCACCTTACTTTTGATGAGTTGGTAAACCACTGGCCACTTCCGTAAGTGTATAAACACGGCAGCTACCACAGTACCACTTTTTTTTGTTAACCATAAAAAATACTACCTTTGTCCCAATATTCATATATATTCTAGGTAAAGTTTTGCATGTGGATTAAAAAAGTAGGACTTGTAAATAAGAAGGTTGTGTAGAGGAGAAACATATATGTAAAAATATCTAAGAATGTGATATATATGAATTTGTAAGAAATACTATGATGAAGCACAGATTTTTCATCAAAAGAGAAAAAGAAAATTATTTTAGAACGGATTTAAAAAGAAAGTTAGAAGATAATCATGGGACACATGAAGCATTTACGGCTCCAAGTATACAAGCATCACATTTAATTTTTATTGATAAAAAGTTATACTAAAATAAAATATCATGAAGTATATATTGCCACCAACTATACTAAAATGAGTAGTCTTAAAAATAAATGTGCATGGTGAAGCATTATAAAACAAGCACAATTAATTTTTTGTGTCAAAAATATGAATTATAAATTATTTTGACTAATAAAATTCATATACTAGTACTCCGTATTTCTCATTGCTAAATCTACTAATAATTTAATACTATGTATATAGATTTATAGAAATGAGTTTGATATTCTATTTAAATGAGTATAGGGTTGAAAAGAAAATAGCATTAATATTACGTTATAAACTAATGAGAATAAAAACATTTCAAATGAGTATACAGTAATTATGAGTACATTGCTTAGAAGAACTGTGCATTGATGTTACATTATAAATGAACACAATAGTCAAAATAGGTCCAATCGCGAAGCTATGATCAAAGCCTTGGGTGTACCGGTGTAAAGAATTTTTTCAGATAAAATTTTACACATACATAGTATATTTTTACACTAAAAATACAAAGGATTTTTTAAATTTGGGGTGGGTCGGAGCGTGTAGTGGTTGCCCCCTCTACCTCCGCCCCTGAATAGGTACATGTACCGGTCATAGTAGCCCAATTCAGTTCTAAACCTAAAAAGGTTCAACTTGCACCCCGAACTAGCACAAAAATGGATCGGAATTTCAATTTTACGCGTAAAACCGGTCGGTCACCCATCACATCACTCGTCTAATTGTCACCTGTGTATCTGAAGTTGAAACTAAAAGTTCAAATAAGTCCCTTAACCTATCACAATTGTTCAAATCACCCCCTAAACTATTAAAAAGTGTCAAAATTATAATGAATTAAAAAAAATAGAAACACCAAGTTAAAAATAAAATATATAAATCTAAAAAATTAAAAACGAAACATAAGTTTAATTTTATACATTATATTCATACTTTATATCTATGTTTTTTTACATCAGTATTTTATTTAAGATTTCATTTTTATTTTAATGTTTTATGTTAATCTATTTTATCATTTTGTAGGTTTTGAATTAAAACATGTGAAATATAAAATAGGAATTTATAATGCTTCAAAAATAAGTTAAAAAATAAAAAATGTAAAAGTTCAATTCGGAAATATTTTATATAACTTAAAGTATAAATATATATTTTTTTATTTACCGAAAACTACGTAAAAAATAAAATAAATAGGAATAGCTGTTAAGAATCTATTGAAATATCAAATATAAGCACAAAACTAAAACTGTAAAGAAAAAATCTCTAAATAGGAACATAACATAGAAAATGTTCTAAAAAAGAATGTTATTATTTTCATCCTAAAATATGACTCATACACTCCTAGTTAGGATTAAAGAGGTCCTATTTGAAAAAAAAATATATTATAGAAATTTCTATATTTTCATCCTACTTTGAGTAGTTTTTATACCTATATATTTAATATAATATAACATATTTAAAAAATAAATACAAAATATAAAATGTAAATAAAATTTGAAATAACAAATAAAATTTAATGTAGGAAATGAAACCGCTAAATAAAAACTTAAGAATAAATATAATGTCAAAATATACATATACTTAGTATTATCTTTTCATATTTTTTTATATTTTATACTCATATTTTGAATTAACCACAAAATAAATATTTTTTACCATCTATATTTGTACATTATCTTTATTACTTTATATTTATTTTCTTATTGGTATAAATGTATTCCAATGTTGAACTTTTTTTAGAGTTGAGGGGGTAAATTGAGCAATTCAAACAAGTTGAAGGACTTATTTGACCTTTTAGTTTCAACTTTATATGCACAGGTGGCAACCAGATGTGTGACGTGGTAGGTGACTGATTGTTTACCCATAAAAATGAAATTTAAACCGTTTGTTGTCAGTTTGGGGTGCAAATTTAACCTGTTTTTTTTAGTTCAGTGACTGAATTGAGCTAAGACGACTGGTACATATGCCTATTTGACTCTTTATCCTTAAAACATCTATACAACTATAAATTATTTTTTGATACTTTCTCTTTACAAAACTAACAATTGTGTCAATAAACTTAACTACATTAAGTTGGTATGCAAAGAATATATATATATATATATATATATATATATATATATATATATATATATATATCACATGTATAAGTTATTCAAATGAGTTTATGTTACACAAAATGAGTATAAAGTTTATAAGGAATGTCTATTGATATCACGTTTGAAAATGAGCACTATAAATATTTTGAATGAGTATACGTTACTAACGAAATGTCCATCGATATTACAGCTTAAAATGAGCACAACAGAAGCACCAAATTAGCATACACTATATGAAATGTGCACTTAAAAAGTGAACAACTCATACTCCACTATTGTCATATCAATACACAATTCATCAATAGCGTATATATATGCTCAATCGTCAATTATATTTGATAGCTTCACAGTAAACTGCTAGTACATGGTATTGTAGAAAGAATGGAGAGCTAAAGTTTAGAGAGAGAAACATATTGCAATTAATGAGTTTTCGAATCCCTTAAATCTGTACCCGGGGGTATTTATAGTAGCAATAAATGAATCGGTGTATTAAATGCACTACACGTGTTGATTATTCTATGAGCAGAGCCATGGGGTGCTGCAGAGCTTGACGTGTGTCATTCTGTAGTTGACATCTTGCCAGTTGCCCTCTGTTGGTCGAGGTGCCGATGGCCGAGGTGCAGGGGTGCTCCTAGGGCCCAGTGTATGTAGTCCCTGAGTAGCTTTCTTGTGATCTGTGACAGAGGTGACCTCCGCCGAGGTGACCATACAGACAGACAACCAATTTCTTCGTTCTGGATTGGGCTTGTTGTTGGGACCCCAATAGTGACATGGGCTTGGGCCGTTTGTGAGTTCATATACTCTATCAATATCATTTTGTGTTCATTTTAAAATATTGTATTCATGCACAATTTTTCAAATTAAAACATTATAGTGATCACTTGGGTATAATGTAAGATACACTATAATCATATCAACTTTACTATTTATATTTCAAAATGTTACACCATTAGACATTTTTTAAACATATACCCATAAGTCCCATAAAAAAAATACCCGTAATTGATGTATACTCGTGTAAAGTGTTTGTTATGCTCATTTGTAAAATCAAATATATGACATTTTTTAAACAATACACTCATTTAAGTATAACATAGGAATAAGTAATGTACTCCGTATTAATCTGAAACCAACTTATCTATTTAAGTATCTCCATACTTTATGTTCATCTAAAATCTTTGTTGTGTTCATTTCAGGGGTCTACGTACGGGCTATTGTAGGCTAAAGCACATGGTAACTTTATTTATTTTCAATTTTCTAAGGGCAAAATGTATTCATTTTTCAATTTGATGGCTTTTGTGGATGTAAAAAACGGCATTTTCAAAATGCTAAACAAGGCATTTTAGACAAGACATAACTGTCATGTTAAAGTAATTATGGGATGGATATAGATTCGACACGGATTAACCGATAATTTCGTGTCAAATAAGTTGTGCCAAAATATTTTTGGTACGAATTTGGCATATCCTTGCATAACCTCTGCCAATTTTAGGAAACATACATACCAAAAATCTCTGTCAATCCTGTGTTTTTTGGAGTGTATTGTCTTCTAATTTGTATAATTTACTTCCTTGATCTTTTCTGTAAAACAAAATCAGCAGTAAAATTCAAGTTATAAAATCTAAAGTCAAGATCACAATTGAGTGGAAATGCAATCCGCAAAATAAATTGGGAATGCAAATTGGGAGATACACACATATTTTGATAAAAAATTACCATTTCTTTGAAAATTTAGAGCTCAAAACTTTAGAAATTGTTTTTAGTATATGATGTTTCTAAATAATTGTTCACCTTAATGATACATTTGCTTCTATAAAATTATATAGTAATATTTATTGGATAGATTGTAATGTATAATCATGTGTACTTCTAAAATTATCTAATACTCCGTCTAATAAAGAAAATTAAGTCTTATACTAGGCACGGTGAAATGACTAATGATGATAAAGTTGGAATTCAATAGTAATAATTCGCAGATGGATCGAATTCTTGATACAAATTAATTAATAAATATACGTACGAAATCAAATACTCCCTCCGTCCCATTTTCACACTTTCCTTTTTTGGACGTCCCATATAAAGATCTCATTTTCATTTTAGGAAAGAATTAACAATCTTAAGTGACAAGTTATTCATTATATATTAAAAATAATACATTTATAACATCACTATTATCAATACTAACCATGTTATAACATATACCTATTAAAATTATTTCTCGAAATATACTCGAAGTGCTTAATTTAATTATTGTCTAAATAACCTTGTCGTTTTGCTATGAGAACCTTAAAACGGGACGGCGGTAGTACTATTTAGGTAAATCTCCCTATTGCATAATGGGACGGCGGTAGTACTATTTAGGTAAATCTCCCTATTGCATAATAGTGGGGTATGGTTTTAGAGTTGGGGCCTGGGGCAAGGGTGGGAGAGGGCAAAGTGACAAAAGAGTATAGCATTGTAGGGTTATGAAAGTCATGGAAGATATATGCTTGTTTGGGTGTTTGGGCATTTTGAAGAACAAAAACCCTCATCTATATTTTCCCTATTAGTTTGATTAGGTTCTATTCCTTTTTGCTATGACTGAGTGGTAAAAGAAGTAAGATCGGGGAATGGATGGGAAAGGGCCAAGTCTAAATGCATGATACATGTTGGTGGGTTGGCTTGCAACCACTGCCCCCTTCCATAGGACCCATGCTCAAGATTCCTATCACTTTCTCAGTTTTTTTTTTAGAAAAAAGACAGAATAATATTAATAATAATAATAATATATCAATATTAATAATCATAATTCATAAATAGCATGAATTTACTGTTTTAATCTTGTAATTTATGCTTGTATGGTACGGTTGTGTCTGTAAAATGTTTTTAGTTGAATTGGTTTCAGTTTCAGACATAAACTAAATCAGTTCGGACTTCCAAAGTTGTAGAGTACAAATAGAATGAACATCTATCAGGGTTTTTTTTTTCATTTTCAGTCTCTTGACTATTGGGTCAGTGACACTTTTGGTACTCGACTTTCAATTTTTCCATTTTTAGTCCTCAACTATTGTGTAAGAGACATTCTTAATCCTCGACTTCAATGTTTTCATCATTTAGTCCTCTTAGAATTATAAAATTGACATTTTTAGTCCTTCCTCTATGAGTTTGACACAGGAAATGGAGGACTAAAAATGTCATTATTATAATAGTTGAAGGACCAAAAGCGTCACTTTTATGAAAGTTGAAGGACTAAATGTGGAAAGGACCGATAGATGGTAAAAAGTCCAAAAACTCCAAAAACAAATAGCTTCTCGTTGAATTATATAGAAATGAAATCCCCTAAAATCTATAAGCTAATTCCGTAAAGATAGAAAGGACCCTATGTTTCAGCCAATACTTTAGCCTTGAGACGAGCACTCCATCGAGGTAGGAATCTGGAACAAGCTGAGTCACATTCAGTGTCAGCAACACAGTCTAGTAGCTCATGAGCAGAAAGTATCCTTAGAACATGCGTGACTTCAAGATCTTTTCCACCCGAAGCATTAGGTTCTAAAACTTCTGTCTGAGGAGAAACCAATCCATCCTCTAATAAAGGTTCAGTGTGAGGTGAAAAGAAACGCAAAGAGGAGTAGTCTCAAGAATATCTGTCATATATATCTCTTTGATTTCAAAAGTTAATGTCCCCTGTGAAGTATCCCAAATCACAACAACACTCTTCAAAGTGTTATCAGATTCATAATTAAGCCCAAAAAGTGCAAATCTTCTTTGAAGATTAAAGAGGATAGATATGGATTCTGTGTCTGTGAAAAATGACATTGTGTCCGAGCAAACGACTCTAAAATACACAAATGGTGGCTCTATCAACCTATCTATTTGGCTCCTTTCTACCATCAAAGCAATTGATCTTGTAATTCCTCTAAGAAAACAATTAATCCCCAATCTATATTGTCCTTCATGAATAAACAAATTATCACATCCCTTCTCAATAATGGGGATAAAGCCTCCAAAAAAAATTAGCATCATAAAGCATCGGAACAGATTTATTCATTTCTATCTTACTCCCAAAAGTAATGCGAGAAAAAATTTTGAGAATGGAGTTCTTCAACCAAGTGAGCCTAACGATATCCAGATTAATAGCAGATGTAATTCCATGTTTCATTTCAGAAATTCGAACAACATTGCAATCAATAATTGTAAATCGAAAAGCCTTGCTTTCAATGATAACCTCAAAGGAATGGGTTGAATCTAATGTTTGTTGGAGAGATTTCTCCATTTCCGTCCAGCGCCGCCATACCCCATGTGACTGATGAGTCCTGAGTTGCTGATTCGGGGGCTGGAATCCAAACCAGCGGACTTGACCTCGAGCATCAGTTGACGCCCTGAGGTGATGTCGCCCTAAAAATCCTTCCATGATTAATCTGTGTAGCCCTGAGGACCGTCGCGCCTGGCTAGTGTAAAAGTTCCTCTCTGTCGGAAACCGCCACTCACCTGGAAATTGGACATTGTTCCAGTTCCTCCATCTATTCGATCTCCGGTCTCCTGGTTGTCTCTCCCAGATGGTCTCACCGAATCGGCGACGGAAGCCACCGATAGGGTAGTCTCCTCGCGTCGCCCAAATCCCCGAATTACTGTTCATCCGCCCCTTGCAGTTGCAACACCGCACCTAATGTACTTTAATTTGAAATTCAATATGTATTTGAATTTTCTATGCGAATATTTATGTGTGCAAGAATGGTATATTTAATTAATGAAGGATTAATTAAATTATTTATCGAGCACATGATACTGAGAGTGGGCTACCAAATAATTAGTTGGGTCATCATAATAATTATAGAAGCCCAATAAAAAGCCAACCAAAGTTGAGGAAAATGTTTGGGCAACACAAGTATTATTTTGACTCAACCTGCCAAAAATAGTAGGAATAATCGGGAGGAACTTTCAACACCCACTTGGAACTTTTCCTACATGTCTTGTAGACTCTTAATAATCAAATGGGAGCAATAATACATGAGGGGGCGGACAAGATAGGAGGAAGGCTCCTAGACACAAAATGACACCCCCATGACCCCATCCTTGATTTATTTTGGAGGTTTGATTGCATAGAGATGCTTCCCATATCATTCTACGTCACTCACTCGACTAAACTAAGAGAGAGAGCTCTGGAAAAAGCCTCTCACAAATCTCAGAGCTTAGAGGAAGCAAGAGCAAGGAAATCCAAGGAGAAAAGGGGCTAGGATTGAGGTAAGAACTCATATAGTTCTTTTAACTAGTTTATGTTGTATGATTTTTAAGAAATCATATGGTGGAGTAAATCATGAGTTTTACACGTTTAAAAAGTGTATTATATTGATATAAAGTGGTGGTATTTAACTTAGAAGAGTCGTGGAATCGATAGCAATTGAAATCGCTGGAAACCGCCATTGTTGGGGACTGTTTTCGAGCTGTAGGCCCGAAAGCCGCCCACCTTTTGCAAAAGCCGCCCGGCTTTTGTCTGCTGTCCAGAATTTCCGCTTTCAATCGGCCTAGAATGGGGATTGATCGAGGGTCTTAGCAAAGGCAACTAGTTGAGCACATCATAAGGTGAGGATGGCTGACTATATTGTTTATAACTAGTAGGTTAATTCATGAGATTACCTAATGTCATAAAAGCATGATTTTTTATTAACTAATATGCTAAGTAAAGTGTCAATTGATCATATTGTTGTATATGAAGAGTTGATGCATGATTGATTGTACTATGAGTAATTGGAGCATGATTACTTGATATACTTGAGATATTATTTTAGGTGATATAGTGATGAACTAATAAAATAAGTTATTAATCACTATTTAATTGTATTGACTTTATGGTTAGTAAAGTCAATATAGAATGAAGTGAGAATGAGTCATGGCATGACCGCCATGTTTGTTTAAAGGGGAAAGACAACTTGAACTAAGAATAACTCGGGTGGTACTAAGTGACTAGCCCGAGGTTATAGTATGAACATTTATAAATTAATCCTAAGTTTAGGATTGTGATGCTTCGTCACTAGGGTATTCATTTGGGATAGCCTTAGATGATTTAAATGGTATAATTATCCTAGGATTTGATTGTTGATATTATTATCCGGGTGGTCTTTAGGATACCCGTAATTGATTGTTTGATTGGTAGCAAGGGTCATGACTCGGCTCTAGTCTAAGGATAGATGTCCGACCACATGGACTTGCTAATAGATAGATGAGGGACATGGGTCGGGCGAGTCTGAGGATCGTGCCGGACTGCATGGGCCCATAATAGAATAGATGTAAGGACCATGGCCCTGCTTGGCTCTAGAGAGCGAGTTGGATAGCATGGACTTACAGCGTGATCACGTATAAGGGTGGAATCCGAATCAAAGACCTTACGAGGCTTTGACAGAGGTAACACATAAGATAGGATCCTGAATGGGCCTTACCTTCCTACGGGAACAGGGTACGAGTCCAGGGGCAGGATGCTGGACTCCGACCGAGTGCTCTGCGGGGACTTGGATAGCGGTGACAGGTTCTGTATGATTGATGTGACCTTTGGGTTAAATTCTATGAATTATTAATGTAATAAATTATCGCAAGGCGATACGAATTGTATTATTAAATACAAATGGGGAAATAAATTATCACTTGGCGATGCAAAGGGTTTTTGACAAATACAAATGGGCCTTTGGGCCGACTATTTGACGTTATATACTTATGTATGATTTAAAAGGGGTACTGTGGGTTATTTTCTAGAATATGATATCACCCTATGTTGAGGGTCTTAGGGATTGAAATATTAATTATATGCAGTATAGTTGTCATTGTACTTTTCAAATGCTTCAAAGTACTGACCTCCCCTTCACGGGGGAGGCCACCTCACAGTTTTCAGGTAGAAGCTAGAGCTTGCTTCCTGCACCCGTTGCTTCGGCAGTTCTTGGAGAGAAGACGTGGTTCGTGCTTCCTCCGTTCTGTTTTCAAAACAATTACAATAATGCTCATGGATAATATTTTCCAATAAATTACTTGAGGGCTTGTATGCCTAAGTTTGCCAAGTGTGGCTTGAACACTTGTAATATTGTTTCTGTTGCTTTAATGAATATTTTATATTATGTTTGTTTATGGATGTACTATGTGTGAATGATATTCCAGACGCCTTGTATAATATGGATGTGTTAGACTGCGGTTGACTATTCGTATAGTATGGCGGGTTGTTGACGTGTCCGGGTAGGTCTGGGGCGTGACATGCAGCGTCCACTTGTTAATTAGTGTGTGTAAACAACCCCTTACTTTAATATACTCATTTTGCCAATCATATTCCAGTTATAAACATCCCAATTAGAGTCTTGTACCATTACTATGGTAAATAATGCCCAACAACTGATAAGTTTGTTCACAATGATGACTTTAGTTTTATTAAAATGTACTATTTCGAGCACAAAATATAATGCACAAAAAAGAAGCATCATTTCCATGAAAATTTCTGCTAGAAATAGTACACTACAGTGAAGAAGATCATAATATGAATAAATTTAATTATTTGTTAAGGGACATGATATGTGAGTGATTAAAGTTGCATGACTAAAAACATGTGTAAGGTTGATTGATCTTTTATAGCTCGGATCTCCAACCACAAGAACCACAAAGGAACATGACTCACAAACACCATATGGACCACATGGGACAAGGAAAGCCCATAAAGGCAGAATACATTCCACAACTCAATCAGTAATCTTCTCCAGCCTCACCCTAGAACTCCCAGAGAATTGGACACACTCACATAGGGCAACGGAGGGGTGGAAGAAGAGAGGTGGCAAGAAGGCTAAACTCACTCGCTATAAATTCTTGGATACTAGGCCGGGTTTCAGACATGTGACTCAAAGAAGCAGACAGATAAGAATTCAATATATAGGAAAGGAACAGGTAACCTGAATGGTAAGTAAGCAATGACTAAAGAGCTAGTCCAGACAAAGAGGAGCCGAGTTGTGGAAGGGAGACAAACGAAACAGGAACAAGTAAGGGGGAAAGAATACCTTGACATGGATCAATACCTCTCACATTCTCCATCTTATTAGTCCAATGTGGCATAGAGTTAAACAATGGCGTGGAGAGATTCATCATCGTTGGGTCACCTATAGTATCACAAATATAAAATAGGCAAACAAAAAATTGGAGGTGCACATAGCACCCCTTAGACCACAAGAACAAATAAAAGATTGAAGAAGAGCACAAAGTACTCTACGGGTCACACAGATCCTTGAAGAACCAATGATAACAACCTAAAACTAGTACAATCAGTGCATAGCAGGTCATACAGACAAACTCAAAGCAATGCAAACAGAGAGAACACACGGTCCCAAGAGGAGAGATCAGGAGGAGTTTGTAAGCACAAAGTAAGTAAACTACACTAAGAGGGGAAAGCTAACTACAGTCCAAGTTTAAAGTTCATTTACAAGATAACAACTTTTCAATAGAGAGACATTTGGTCCCCCGTGTCAGCAGTATTGAACTCAGAAAAGATCTTGCACAACTTGACATCACATGAATCCACAATCTCTTAAATGAAATGGAACCTCACATCAATGTGTTTTGTCCTATCATGAAACACTTGGTTTTTGCAAAGCTGGATGGAAAATTGGCAATGAAAGAAAACTGTAATATCCTGCTTAAGATAACCAATGTCAGCTATAAGGCGTTTTAGCCAAATAGCTTCCTTAAAAGCTTCGATGGCAGCTACATATTCAGATTTAGTAGTAGGAAGAACAACAATAGGTTGTAGTTGAGACTTTCAACTAATGAAAGAAACGAAGTGAAAGCATAAGAAGTTGTTAACCTCATATTATCTCTATCATTAGCATAGTTAGAATTCATATAGCCATTTAATAGAATACCACCAGAACACTTTGCAAATGCCAAACCATGTTTCATACTAGCTTTCAATTACCTCAACAACCATTTAAGAGCATTCAAATAAGGCATATAAGAATTGGACTATCTATTTAAACAACTAACAACATAAGAAGTATCATGCCTAGTGCTAACCATGAGATACGTAATTGCCACTATTGCAATGGAATAAGGAACAAATTCTATCTTATTAATTTCAGAAGCAGTCTTGGGAAAATGATCCTTACTTAACACAAAATGGGAGTCTAAAGGACATCACAAGAGCAACAGTTTGCATGTTAAATGTGGATCGTTGCGCTTACCGCTACACTAAAAGCAATCGCTGATAGTGTAGCACGCCCTTCCCCTTTTATAGAACAGGCAAAGCGCCACGCGGTTCGATTGCACCGGCAGGCTGGCAGATTGCTAACCGCAGACCCGCGGCAGGCCCAACAATCTCCCCCTCAGCACCTGCCAGCCTACAACTGAGCAGCATGCTGTTGCCGGGGGTCGAACCCGTGACCTCTGGCTCTGATACCAATTGTGGATCGTTGCGCTTACCGCTACACTAAAAGCAATCGCTGATAGTGTAGCACGCCCTTCCCCTTTTATAGAACAGGCAAAGCGCCACGCGGTTCGATTGCACCGGCAGGCTGGCAGATTGCTGACCGTAGACCCGCGGCAGACCCAACATTAAATTTACTCCAAACTTTTTCCACATAGGAGATCTGGTTTAAACCAAGAGTAGATCTTCTCCTATCTTAAACAATGCTTTTGTTTAGGATTCTCTTGGCATCCCATAGGTCTTTCTTGGAAAAATTATCACACAAACATTTGCACATGAACAATGGACTTAAGACTGGGACTGATGATTAACATGTCATCCACATAGAGTAATAAGGATACATGCACAAAGGAAGGATCCTTATAGTACAAACAATGGTCACAGGAAGACTTAACAAATTTCATGGATTTCATGCGTCGGACAAACTTAATATTCCATTGCCCAGGGGACTGCTTCAACCCATACAAGGACTTCTGTAGTAAACACACATAATCACTTTTGTTGGGTTCCACAAACCCTTCAAGTTGGGCCTTACAGTTTTTCTTATCCAGATAACCACGCAAGAAAGCAGTGATCACATCCATCTGTTTCATTTCCCAATTAAAGTGAGAAACAATAGCAAGCATAATTCTAAGAGTAGTAAAATTGGCTACATGAGCAAATATCTCAGCATAATATACCCCCCTCTTTTAGTCTTTGTGAACCCTTTATCAACTACCCTATCCTTAAAAATAGCATCGTTGGGTTCTTCCTAGACCTTAGAAGCCACTGACAATCAACAATAGAACAATTCGGAGGTATAAGGAAAAAGGCGGTCCAGGCCTGGTTTAATTCACTATTAAAGATTCCATCTCACTCTTCATAGCACTAAGCCACTTTTGGGGCTTTTTAGAACTCAATGCTTCACAACATGTTTTCAGTTCATTCAATCAAGGGTGTCATACACAAAATGAAAATGTAAGAGTATCATGCATATGGAAATCATAATCAGACATGTTATCAATAGTTTTTCTAATAGCTCTCATACTCCTATCTCTCGCAAGTTGATAATCTTGTAAATCAAAAGAATCAAGCTCCACAGAAAGATCATGTGATTCATTGTTACTATGAAAATCAGACTCTACTTGAACATCATGTGATTCATGCTCATTCACATTATCATGCAATTGGTCAACCTTAGTATGAGTAGTGGGACTTTCATATTCAGAAGAATCATCGTACAATATCATCAGTATTATCATTATCAACATATAAAGGAAAAGCAATAGTAGGATCAGACTACACCTCAAGCTTGACACTATCAGACCTAGAGACAAGATTAGGAATAGATCTCTATTAATATCACATCGTACTAATGACTAGAAGAGACAGTCCATATAAAGGGGAGCCGGGTTGGGCTAAGGCAACAAACGAAAAAGGCCTAAGTCACAGTAAGGGGAAAAGAAGGTCTTGGCATGGGACAATACCTCTCACAACATGCACATGTAGCAACTACCACAAACTTTACTATTTTCCCAGTAATAATAAGGGAAATATACTCAAATAGGAGTAAAACAATCTCAAAATGCAAAAATAAGACAATACTGTTTTTATCCCCCCAAATAGGACTAAAGTATAATCTTTCTTCCAATTCTACCCTTACCATAATTTAATAAGGAAGTTATGGGCTTTTAGACATAAAACATAGCTCATAGAACACTTTCATCTTCCTAAATGAGCACCGAACTAATGTACTTATGGTCACACCAAAATATATGCAAAATGTATCTCAGACCCTAGTTTTCAAAGGACCTAAACTATTCGGAAGTTTGGCGGCATTACACGTTCCACTAAGGTCTAATGGTTATCCTCATCATTTGTAAGAATGAGAGTGACCTCTCCGCAGACTTAAAGAGGTAATGGCTGAGGCTCGCTAGTTGCGGGAGTTGTCAAGCATTATACCTCCTTAACGTTTCAGGGAGGCTCCATGTTGATGCTTACCTTGATTTTCTATTGATTCAAATTGATTTCCGATTCAAATTGTAGCCGAGGATCTTTCCTCCTTGGACGGTGAAAGAGCACTTCTTTGGATTAAGATGGAGGTTGAATTTCTTCATAATCTCGAAAATGTCCTGCAGGTTATATGTGTGATAACTCACTGCTCAAGATCATGTTGTCAACATATGCTTCCATCATCGAGCCTAATAGCTTGAGGAAGATCTTTTCACCATCCTCGAGTATGTGACCCCTGAGTTATTCAAGCCGAAGGTGATGACGGTATTACCGAGATTCCCATTTAAGGTCATCAAAACCGTGTTTCTCAATGTCATCCTCTTACATGAAATTTTAATGATACTCTGCTGCATCCAGGAATGAAATGAGCTCACAACTGGCAGTCTCCTCTGCAAGTTATTCAATATAAGGCAGTGAAATATGTCCATTGGGCATCCTTCTTGGGTTGATCTTGCAAGTATACAAGATCTAAGTATAGTAACAAATATCAGTAAAATATTGAGTCCGTCCATAGGAAAAGGTTGTCCATTGGTGTTCTTTAGACTGAAATTTAGAGATTTAATTAAATGTATATATACATGTATTATATGTATTAAATGCACAATTATATATATTACATATACTATAATTTACGAGCCAGGCTTTTAGGCCCGTCCAAACGTATACAAAACCCCAAACTAGCCCATATTTTAATGGGCTGGGCTCGTATGGTGGGTAAATATATACTACTACCTCCGTCCCCCTATGTTTGGGACAAGAAAAGGTGGCACGGTTATTAATAAAAGTGGGTTTATGTGGTTGATATTGAATTGATAAAGTAAGAATAAAGTAGAAATGATTTAGAACCACACAAACTTTACCAAATAAGGTATGAGTCAATCTTAGTGGGACGGACCGAAATGGTAAAATGGGACAATCATAGCGGGACGGAGGGAGTATGTATGTTTAAACCCGCCCATTGATAAACAGTATTTCAGTCCTGATTGTTTTAGGCTTTAAATTGCTTGTTTTGTGGCTGATTCTATGTCTATTCGTTGGACGCACAGACGCATGTGTCATAATAATTATCTGAATGTTATCTTGTATCTTTTCTGATTTTAATATAAAAGCGATCACTCTATTCAAAAAAACCTGCCCATTGATTTTGTGCAGGTCTGGCCGTCGCTAATTACGTGTTACTCATACGACCATGAAATTATAGAATAATTTATGGAGGACGTCAATTTACTCGTTAGGAAACCCATCGACTTGATACGGATTATATCTATCTAAATATGAATCATATCCTATGCTATTTGCCCAATATTTACTTGGGAAAAAACGAAAACAAAAATCTTACTTATAATTATTTACAACGAATCAGTTGCCCTCGCAAGTCCTAATCAAAATTTCAAAGACAACTGGCAGTGCAGAAACCTACATGGTGAATACTGCCCACTTTTGCCTTTGAGCCAAAACTAAAATAGAAAATTTTACAATTTCAGTTACATCAAAAATAGTTACTCCGTATTACTCTTACTACTTTTTGGAATACAATCAAAGGAGAAAGGGTTATTTAATCTATTAAAACGTAGTATTAAAATGGTATATTGGGGAGTATCAAATATTGTAATGAAGGCTATATGAACTTTTAATATCCAGGAAATTTCCAAATCACCAGTACTTAACTATTAATAAGATAAAAGTACTCGGAATAATACTCTGATTCGTACAGAATTCCGAACAAGTAACATGCATCTGCTTAAAACCACTTAGCTAAATTTATCAAAAAAACGAAGTTGTACTGTGTTGATCTAATAGAAATAACAACGGCAAATTTCATAAACCGGATTAAAATATTACACAATCCTTTCATTTAGAGGTTATAATCAACCGAGTCGGGTTTAAGTTCGGCTAAAATAAAATCTCCTTGATAAGAAGTAGTCGAGCTCGAATTTGAGCTGAAATTCATTCGAGTCGAGTTCAAGTTGTATTCAGAATTTATTTGTTCTAAAGAATGGTATATTTCCAAACACATATATGCAATTCTCAGTCATTCTTTAAACATGAAACCAATTTTTAAAATGCACAACATTTTAAAAGATTGCCTAAAATATTTAAGAAACATTGTCAATTGTATATTTTTAGTAGGACATATGACCGGATATAATTTTATGTATGAATCTATACTATGGATATATACTACACTACTCCGTATAATGTAATGCTAATAAGTGTGAATTTTAAAAATCGATATTAACTCATAATTGTACGTGTAGTATGAGAGCTTTTCGAGTCGACATTCTATACGGAGTATATAACTTGACTTGCTTTGGATTCGAGTCGGGTTCAAATGCAAGTCAAATTTGAATCGACCCAAGCTGCGCTCGAGTAAAAATTGATTATATCTCGAATAATTTGGAAGCTGGTTTGCTTAATTAGCACCCTACTTTTCTTAATATCTATCATTTTTCTTAAAACTATGACCAACTCACTTCTGAATAAATTTTTATTATTAACTACCTTTTTATATAACGAAAGCTAGAGAGTATTTTAAGCACAAAACAAATTAAAGATGTCCATACATGTACACTAAATTATTTAGGATCAATTTTTTTTATCGTAATTATTTAGGATCAATGGAATACGTTTTATATTTATTTCCAGTACTTTTTATATATAATAAAAATAAGATCGATACACTAAAAATATTCCCAAAATCGTAATGCGAAATACTGTTTCTGTCCCACTAACAATGAGATAAGAGGGAGTAACACGCAAATTAATAAAAGTGATTTATTATATTAAATTAATAAAGTAAAAATAAAGTAAGAATGATTTAGAACCACACAAACTTTATCAAATTTGATACTACATCCGTCCCGGTGGACTTTGCCAAGTGCAAAGTAGGTGAGAAATAAGAACAGTAAAAATTGTGTGATTGAGATTTGTGCAGAGGAGAGAGAAATGTGCTGAACCACAAATTAGTTGCTTTAATAAGAAAATGACAAAGTTTTACTACCAAAAAGGGAAAATTGTCAAAGTCTAATGGGACGGAGGGAATATTAGATAATAGTGAGACAAACTGAAAAGATAAAATGAAACATTCTTAGAGGATGGGGAGAGTATTATTTTGCATTATGTCAAATTGTAATGCTATAATTAATTTTACGTCGCATGGTAAGTACATACATGCCTGGCCGGTAATATAGACTACCTTAAATCTTAATTAATTAAAGTGAACTACAAATCCAAAATCATACTAGTACAAGTATATGTGAAAGAACCGAATTATAAATAAATAAATAAATAAATAAATAAATAAATAAATAAATAAATAACAGAAAAAAGGGAAAAGCTTTGTTAAAGCTGAACAGGTATATAAGTAATACACATAACATGATAACATCAAACCCTCCAACCAATTCCATTCTCACCCTCTCTTCTTCTTTTTAATAACTCAAGAAATATATATACTCAAAGACAATTCTTGAAAACAACTCTACTTCAATTCTCTCTTTTTAGCTTTCCTTTGCACAACAAATCAAATCCCAGTGTCTTGCTTATCGCAATCTGATCAGAATTTAGATATATAAGCTAACTAGCTTCAATTGTTTGGTCACTTTTCCAAGCATGAACCAAATCCAAAGGATATCATGACTTGCACTGAAATGTCTTTCTTCCCCACAAATTTCATGCTCCAAACCTCTCATGAAGATCATGACCATCAACCCTCCACATCTCTCAATCCCCTCCTTCCCTCTTGCACTCCTCAAGACTTTCCAGGTTCATATCTGATCTCTCTTTTTCTCCCTCTCTATTAATAATATATATGTTTATGTACTTCGTATGTTTGTACACACAGAGAGAGATATAGAATAAGGGTTTCATACATAATTATTATTTTGATGTGATCATTTGAATGATAAGGGCATGGTATACTTACTTGGAACATAGTGATGCTTTTTGAATGTCCTGTTTGATGTGTGATGATTTTGATGATTATTGTTATTATTTTGGTTGGATCAGGAGTGGCTTCATTTCTAGGGAAGAGATCTATGGCTTTTTCTGGGGTGGAAACAACACAAAACTGTGAAGAAGCACATGGAGTAGATGATGATCTGTCAGATGATGGGTCCCAAGCAGGAGAGAAGAAGAGGAGGTTGAACATGGAACAGGTGAAGACTCTGGAGAAGAACTTTGAGTTGGGAAACAAGCTTGAGCCTGAGAGGAAAATGCAGTTGGCTAGGGCACTTGGGCTGCAGCCAAGGCAGATTGCCATTTGGTTTCAGAATAGGAGGGCTAGATGGAAGACCAAGCAGTTAGAGAAAGACTATGAGGTCCTTAAGAGACAATTTGATGCTGTCAAAGCTGAAAATGATGCCCTCCAAGCCCAAAACCAGAAGCTTCATGCTGAGGTTGGTAATTGTTTTTAAAATTTTAATTAATTAATTGTGTAATCTGTATATTCTCAGAGTTATAACAAAATACTTCCTCAATTAATTCTTTATTGATCTAAAAGGTTTGACTTTTGAACTATTGAATATCTTAATTTGAGCATGTTTTTGTACTGCTATAAGTACCCTTCCTCCATTACAACTTTGAAATCTTTGAATCTTTTTATCAATCATGTTAAACCGTTTATATATTTTACAAAAAAAAAACATTTACTCTATAAATAAAAGAGATTAAAAAATGTTTTATGTTAAAAGTTCTTTTATAAAAGTATAAAATTTATCATATTTATCATATTTATACTAATAAAAATCCTTGTCCATATTTTAGTATTACAAAATACTCCGTAATACGTAAAAATATATTACGTAGTAAAATATTACACTTCGTATAAAATATCGTTCTATACAATTTTTTTTTCAATGTAAAATCTTAAAATATTAACTGTTTATATAATTTTTACTCAGACATAGTTAATACGGAGTATATTAAAAGTCAAAAGTGTTGCAATTGAAGGAGAATGTAGGTAGTACAATACACAATGAATCAGTAGTTATATTATTGCTACACTCTAAATTTGGTGAAGAGTGGACTTATTTCTCAATTACCACATCCGAGGATTTTGATGTGGTTCATCATAAATGCCTTAATTAGTGTATTTTTGTTCAAACTAAAGTTTGTGGTTAGGTGAAATGAAGTCACATAGTGTCTGTTGATCTGACCAATACTTTCATCCCAAATTGAAATTCAATTTAACGTTTTTAGATTAAATGATGACAAAATTAAAGCATGTTCCCCAAAAGGTAAAATCAATTTTAGTAATTAAAGTTTATATAATCGGAAATTACAATTTCTATAAAGTATCGAAATAAAAAATTGTATATTAAAAATTAATATTAGAAATAAGTAAATAAAGGGAAAGTCTTGGCTGAGAAAAGATTGCTTTACAAATGGTAAAACTCTAGAATGAGTACATGTATAAATACTTCACATGTAATTTATTGGCTGGTCATGATTATTTTCATCATTTAGAAATAATGAGAGAAATGCTTTTTGTTCAAATAGACATCGTTTAGACATGTACGTGAAAATGGTGTCGGTAAAAACAGTGGTGCGCGTGTGTAACCCTAAATATAGAATTGTGATAACCTTGTATTGTTGGCTATTTTCATGGTGAGAAACTTTGACTTTTGACCCAATGATTAACCTCTTCTAAAACTCTTCAAAAAGATTCCTCTATCCTTTTGATTAAGATTGGGTGCTAATACTCCGTATTATTTTTCTGATTTTCAAATAAATGTCCACCTTACAATTAATTCAATTGTCATAACATGTCAAGTCATAGACTTTGTTTGGGATATGAAATCGGCCGTTTATGATATACTCCCTCCCTCTAGGGAGAAATTCCCGGGTTGACTTTCACACATTTTTAGGAAGTAAAGTTATTGAGGGGTAAATTTTACTGTTTTGCACTGTTTCGACACTGTTTGGCACTGTTTCGACACTGTTTGGCACTGTTTGGCACTGTTTTAATGTATTATAACTTTCCATTTAGGGAAATGGGAAGTTTCTTTTGGGACATCCAAATAAGGAAATTGGGAACTTCTCCCCGGGATGGAGGGAGTAAAACTTTTGATAATGTATGCCAAAGTAGTCCTTTCAGACTTTTTTTGTATCACTTTTGATTGCATTTTAAATATGTTAAAAGGATATGGCAGAAAATCAAATACCATGTCCTTCCATTTTTTAATTAAAAGTAAAACATGCTCAAAGTTAAAGTGAAATATAGATAGTTTAAGTTCACAAATATAACTAACTTTGCTTCATTTTTAGAATAGAACTTATTTAGTCCTAATTAATGAAAGGGAAAAAGCTGTTAATTTCTTTTATAATGAATGGCTTATGATTCTTATTTAATTAGACGAAACAATGATAATTTTATTTAGTAAATGTGTTATGTTTTAATGATTTAGATTTCTTTCACTTTTATTAAAATAAGACTCACACTTCATCTTTTTCAACAATTATGCTTTTCTTTTTTGTTTTTTCAAAATTACACACTTTTATCTATACCAATAAGATATAATCAATACAAGTTTTTAAACTTAAAACTAAAAGAAATGAAAAATATGAAATACATATGTGATTTGCTTCTTTCGTTTTACTAATTCATCAATGGAAAGTGTAATTGTTAGAAAAATTGAAGTTTGAGTCATTTTATAATAAAAGTGAAAGTATATGATAGATTTGTGAATTTGATAATAGTTGAGGATATATTTAGCTTATAATCCTTTCTTTAATTATACTCTTTTAAATATTTTGGATATTTTTTCTATTGAACTGAAACTAATTGAAGAAAGTGGGATGGCAGATAATGGCACTAAAAAACAGGGATCAACAGCCCACAGAATCCATAAACCTCAACAAAGAAACAGAAGGATCTTGCAGCAATAGAAGTGAGAACAGCTCAGAGATAAAGCTGGACATCTCAAGAACAAAAACTCCAGCCATTGACAGCCATCCAAGTGGCAGGTCTCTTTTCCCTTCCAATAGTATGAGGCCAGCTGGCATGGCCTCCCATCACCTCTTTCAAAACTCACCATCTTCAAGGCCATCAGATAATAATCTTCATCATCAGCATCATCAGTGCCTCAAGATGGAACAATCTGTGGTCAAAGAAGAAAGCTTGTCCAGCATGTTCTGTGGCATTGATGATCAGTCTGGATTCTGGCCATGGTTGGAGCAACAGCATTTCAATTAAAGAGCTGAGTGATGCTTTTTTTACTTTTAAAATTTGTGGGATTTGAGTGAAATAATTTCAAATTATATATAATCACTTTACATATGGGGATGGGCTGGTTGAAGATATATGGAGGTGGAGTTATGCTTTAATTTGTTCAATTTAATTTGCTCTATCTCTTGAGGTCTATATAGGTTAAGTTGGTGTATAAATTAACAGCTAAGAAGCATTGCTTTTGATTATAAGTTGAGCCCCCACCCCTGGCCCCCTACTTTTTATTTCTTCAGATCTTTAAAAAGAAGGAAAAAAAAATGAAAAGACAGACCTGTCATTTGCAATACATGTCATGTTTCATATCTACCAATGTGTGTGTTTATTTGTGTCCAAACTATTTTTGGTGTTTTGATTGAGCACCTTTATGTATAAGACATTGGGATCAATTATCATTAAGGGTTATTTGTTGTAGTGCCTTCTCATTCAACAAAAGTGTTAGCTTTTGACATACACTACTCCCCCACTTCCCACTAATCTATGTTTGGGACCAAGTTTTGGTTTAAGGAAAAATCCAATTATGTATTTTATATTAAACTATTAAGGTATGAGCTTTTACTTTAGCCACATTATATATAGAGAGAAATTTGCTTAATTATTAGTTTTATAAGTTCTCAGATTAATGTACTTATTAAATTGTTTCATTTTGCTTTCATCACTTGGAGATAATGTTCTAAGAACTTCTGTGCGGGAATTTACAAAACCCAAACAAAAAGTTTGATGTTTGCAGTGTGGGTTTATTATATATCTTAATTAAAGGACTTTATCTATAAGCGAGTAAACTTATAGAAAAATGGACGCATAATTTGCGGGATTACATAATCACCATATGACATAAATATTTAATTAGGAGCTGGACATAATGAGATAAACATAATGGAAAAATGAGTGTACTTTCATAAACTGATGAGCTGCTGATTATATTCTCTTGTGATTGAACATGATCTTGCGTGTAAGGAGTAATATAATTAATTTTTTCCGGAGATGAAAAGATGTGTCTTTTAGTTTGCATGGCAATCCCATGATTTTCAAAGCTAGGAAGCTACCTTGGGACGTCAAATATATTCCAAGTACATTTACGAGTTGAATTACAATATTATATTTATTTGTGTCCTAAATTCCTAATCCATGAACCCTGGACTAATATTACGATTACTATTTACTTTATTTTTTATTTCTTTTATAAGTTGATCGAGTAAAAGTAATTTCTTGCTTTGGGATCGTGCTTTTGTCCATGATTGCACTAAAAGAATTGAAGTATTGTCCTTTTTCCAGTTTCTTTTGGTGCTGAATTTCATGGCTCTCTGCGTAACTTTTAGCAGCTACGTCTAGGACGCAGCGTGGTGGGGTTGACGAATTTTAGCATCATTTATTTATATTATTTTTTTATTCTTAATATTATCATCTTTACTTTAGTTTTCTTTTGTAATTTTGTCTTGAAAAGAGACATGAGAACATGTACATTTTTATTGTTTGGATCGTACATATCACAAAACCTATGAGTAGTATATTAATGCGCTGGAAATTTGCATAAAACTATTTTCATGATTTGCTATAAGTGAAGATTTCTCCTTCAGGATTGAAATTTTATAAAAATTGGTAAATAGTCTTCACTCTTCAGGGTAAAAAACTATCCATTGTAATCATTATTATTTGCTGCTCGTAGTTGAAAATTTATATTGTGTAGGGTAAAAAGTTTATTGCAACTAGAAACAGTAGAAAGAGCAAACAGTAAGCAAGGGTTTGGGGTATGCAGGTGGGTGGGGGTGGGGTGGGGTGGGGGGAAGAGTATCAAACACACATACCGAGGGAAGGAAGAGGACAAGCAGAGAGAAGAAAACAAAGAGAGTTGGAAATGGTCATTCTCGTGAAGGGACCCTGCTGGCTTGCTTGGCTAACTTGCTGGTGCAACCAGTGACAATGAGAGGGGAATATCATTCACGGCCCGAATCCATGATCAAGCCAAGGTTTGAATAATCCAACCCGAACCCGCAAAACTCCCCGGTTCAAAAACCCCAAACGTGTTAGTACCCAATTTTGATAGATTTTAATGATGTCACTATACTAAGCTCATGTATGTTTCGTGTTCCTATCTTTAGTAATCATATCCAAAAGTGTACAATTTTTGTAACAAACAAAATTATACTGGAAATTAAAAAAGCAATAAGGTAAATTTTGTTTACCTAAAAAGAATATTTAAATCCTATCAGTATAACTTTATTTGATACATAAATTAAACAAAGTCACAAAAGATAAAACAAGACTACACTAAACTAGTCAAAAGTGACAAAATAAAATGTACTCCGTAGAATTTTTGTACCAAATAAAATGCACTGGAAATTAAAAATGCAATAAGCCGTGGGATTTTGGAACTGGGAACCGTAGAACCGATTGGAACCGAACCGTTAACAACATCTAGGAACCGAACCGTTAACAATTAATGCCTCATTTGTAGAAACCGAACCGAAGCGGGTTATAACGGTTCGGTTGCTGGTTCCTATAAAAAATATGTGCATGGAACCGCTAAGGAACCGTTATTAAAAAAAATAAAAAATAAAATAATATTAGTACTAGTAGTAGTAGTAGTAGTAGTAATAGTAATAGTAATAGTAATAATAATAATAATAATAATAATAATAATAATAATAATAATAATAATAATAATAATAATAATAATAATAATAATAATAATAATAATAATAATAATAATAATAATAATAATAATAATAATAATAATAATAATAATAATAATAATAATAATAATAATAATAATAATAATAATAATAATAATAATAATAATAATAATAATAATAATAATAATAATAATAATAATAATAATAATAATAATAATAATAATAATAATAATAGTAATAGTAATAATAATAATAATAATAATAATAATAATAATAATAATAATAATAATAATAATAATAATAATAATAATAATAATAATAATAATAATAATAATAATAATAATAATAATAATAATAATAATAATAATAATAATAATAATAATAATAATAATAATAATAATAATAATAATAATAATAATAATAATAATAATAATAATAATAATAATAATAATAATAATAATAATAATAATAATAATAATAATAATAATAATAATAATAATAATAATAATAATATAGCAATAATAACCACCACAACAACAACAATAATAAAACAATATAAGATATTTAACTAACAATAATTTAATCAACGGAAAAGAAGTAATAAATATTGTACATGAGGTTGATATAATACATTAAACTCCTTTCTACAAGTCAAGTTTTGTTCCATCACATAAATTTTATAAATATAAAATAACCCAAATAACTTGTAGTTGATTGCACATATTTTACTTTACTATTTTCATGATATTTCTAATTATTAGATTTATTATGAGTCAATAGAATGTAATAATGTTTTTTTATATCTATACATGCAAACTCAATGTCTTTTTTTTTTATGTTTTGAATGACTTGAAGTAGACGTCCTATTCTTGCTACTATGATGACGAGTAACCTTCATCGCTCTGACGCTACAATGATTTTTAATGTTTCATTTATTACATGAAAATTTAAATCACTTTTGTTCTATTAAGTGTTCAAAGTTCATTAGTTAAGTTTGAGCTTTGATGTTTGAAGTGATTAGAGCTTCAAATAAAATTATAATACTCGTGTTTTGAATTTTCGACGTGTTTAAAATTATGTGTTAATCTTAGACGAGAAAAAATTATTCTAGGAACCGGTAAAAGGAAGAACCGAACCGTTTACTACCGGTTCGGTTCCATAACGGTTCTTGATTTTTTATATAGGAACCGAACCGATTTCATTAGTTAAAACTTTTATAACAGTTCCACTCATTTTGAGTAAGAACCGAACCGGTCCCATCCCTACAATAAGGTAATTTCTTGTTACCTTAGAAAGATATTTAAATTCCCCTGTCAGTACAAGTTTATTTGATACAAAAGTTAAAGTTACAAATTAGTGAAGCCCAAAGCAGTACACGTCATATACTACGTGCGTATATGATTGAAGAAGCTGGAAGCATTTAATGGTGAATACTACATTGGGCCTTAGGTATGGGAACGCACATAATGAATCTTGAAGATAATCGTGAAGTGATCCTTCCACGGCTCTGATAAGATAAAGGAAATCTCCTTTACCTGCTACCAACACGAGAAGACGAAAGTACATCTCATTCTACGTCAAGGATTAACTCCTCTCAACCAACAGAGGAGATTAATCAACCGGAGAAGCCTATAAATATGGGCAGAAGCATGAGTTCTAAAACCAAGTTTTTAAGTCTTCTAAGTAGAGAAAATCAAAATAAGCATTTAAGAGATATCTAACAAAAGAGAAAGTGTCTGCTTAACTTTACTCTCTGCTCAGACTCATGCTTCACTAAACTTCCAAGTTAGAACTTCTCATAGCTATATTCTGGAAGTTTAGTTCATAGTTGGAGGCTAGTTTTTGTTATATCATAAATTGTTGTAAACACTTAAAAGGACAGTGTTATCATGTCATAAGTGTGGTAAAATAGAATAGAGTATCTTTTGATCCTCACCGGATCAATTGAGAAAATCTAAAGATTGAGTAGCTTGGAGTGGGGTAGTCCTTATGAAACATCTTCAATCTAGGCTAGTTGTGTGATACATGCCAGATTAGCAGTAAGTGTATTGGGTTTAATACTTTAGTAGAAATCCATCTGAAAGAGGGTGGGACTGGACGTGTGAGAATTACACCACCTCTGAATCATGATATATTGTGTGTCAATTTAGTTCCAGTCAACAAAGCACACACCAAACACTTACTAAATTGAGCAATTGCGTTAAAGGACATCTCCGCAGTAGTCTACTGCTCACTCTACTGCTCACCCCACTGCTCAGCCCACTGTCGTTTATACACTTTCTTAAAGACATCTCAATATCACAAAAGCCTTATACACTCTTCAGAAATACCCCAGTTCAATCGGAAGTCTGAAAATCGTGATCTTCCTCCGCAGTAGTCTCAGCAATCCTCTAGAGATTACTCTACTGCTTAGTCCACTGCCCAGTCAACTGCTTTCCTGAATAAGTGTAAATCTCATCCAGATAAACTACATAGCTTATTTTGATCCCATAAGACTTATCTGATTGTCCTCCAAACTCCTTTGTACACTTCTATAAGTAGAAAGTTGTTATACACTGTTTATTTAGAGGTTAAGACCTCCGCTGTGCATCTTTAATCTCTCAAAATGTCATAGATTATCATTCTAGTAGGGAAAGTTTTTAAAGTTGAAAAAGCTTTAAAAGTCTATTCTCACCCCCCCCCCCCCCAGACTTTTACCTCTATCAGGAACCATCAGAACGATTTGGTTTAATAGTTTTTCATAAACTCACGTGTTACGTTTATTGATCCAAAAGTTGGGAT